AAAATAAGTCGAGAAAAATAAGTGCCACTAACTGATGTGTAGCCAAGCTGTCTTCTTGACGTCCATCTACCTGAGCATGTACACCAAAAACAAGGTGAGCTTCAGCAGAGATCATAATTCTGGAAAGACACGACCTTCTACAAATAAATCTCGACCAACGGCACATGAACCTAACCTCTTCTCCCATCCCGGCTCCTTATTTACTCCATTGTGATCCAATTCGGAGAAAAACGCATCCAAATTTACAACAACACCATTTCCTATGATGTTGAAGCACTGAAAAAAACAAGAGGACCGCTTCTTCATTCCTTTCTCAAAACCAGAAGGGTCTTACTTTCTCACTGATCATGCCACTGGGTAAAATGTGGAAGTCATACTTCTTGCCATTTGCTACGACTGTGTGACCAGCGTTGTTGCCTCCCTGGCAACGAGCAGTCACTTGGACCTAGAAAACGGATTGGGACTGCCTTCTCCATTAAAAAAAAACACTGAAACAACCCACGTCGTAATTCTCAATGAGGTAGTCGATAATCTTTCCTTTGCCTTCGTCACCCCATTGGGCACCCAGCAGGACAGACACTGTTCCCACCTTGGGAGTCATCCAAAAACCTTATAAACAAATGATGGACGCCGTTGATATTAGATATATGATAAGTGATTCGATTATAGACGCAAAATCAAAGAAGCAAGCAAAATCAAATGTGTGTTGATACCAAAAAATTACAAACAAATAATGGAATCAGATCAAGAAAAGATGAATAAGCTGAGCAAGATAACACACTTTCAAATAGAAACTGCCATTTCTAAAGGAAAAAAATACTCTAAAAGCTCCAAACAAAAGTACCATTTTTAAGTAGAAAATTCTCTCCAGCAAACAAAAGCGAACTAAAACGAAAAATTAATTCCGTAAGTTTTATACGAAACGAAACTAAGGCTATGTTAACTTAAGTTCGACGACAGAGAAAGAATTTGGTGTTTGATCCGAGTGATTGCGTTCGCCGCTGTATAAACATCGCTGAACGACTCATATGAGAGAAACCAAGGAATGAGCTAAAAAAAGGTGCCTGCTATGCTATGTTGTCAAAGCATCTTCATGAAAGTGGCATAAGCATATATGAAATCAAAGCAAAAAAAAAAATCCCTTCTAAATCTATAATTATGAAAGGTACAAGCTTTTAAGCAATTTTCGCTAAAGTTCTTAAAATTATGAATTAAAAGGAATGAGCACATTGAATTTAGCAAGAATAAAGTGATTAATAGCCAGCTAGAGATGTGATTAAAAGAAGAAGATAACTTATAGACCTTTATCCCTAATATGTATGTGTTGATACTTATTTTTCCATCTTTATCCTCCAGATACGCTAGAAAAGTTTTAGCTCTAGTACTACAGAAATATAAAAATCTC